AGAGATCCAGTGCATCATTTGGCAAAGTTAGGAAGTAAACCCCATATAAACCACAATTTTTTTTTTTTTTTTGTCATGTATTTTTTGGAATATAAAACTTTTCTAAAATTCAAAATCAAACAAGAATGTATAAACACCCAAAAATCAAATTTAAATTTTGCCCCTGTTTGAGGCACATTAAAATTTTCATTCTAATTCTTCTACTCATTTTCAATCACACATTTTTCAATAAAATAATATTTTCCATCATATCGATAGCTTTTCCATCTTTTTCAACCACACATTCTCCATCAATCTACTATTCCAAAATACATTTTTCCAAAATAATGCGGCTCAAACACACCCTTCATTTCTAGTACATAAACTTTTCTAACAAACCAGTGACTAATATTAATATACACACTTCATACAAATTATAAATATCCACGTGTGGGATGGAACAAAGTACTTGGACTTGCAACATTTACTACGCAAGTTAATCTATACTTATTGCAATTAGCAGACCAAATAAAATAAAGGTCTTACACTTGAGTGATTTGCCGGCTTTCATGATTTCCTCTAAGAATTGTGATTCTATCTCTATAACGAACTTTCAGAGCCACCAAAAGCGTGACAGTCTCCACAGAGTAGTATCCACGATCTGCATTACGCAATTATTGGAATGGAATAATGGAATGTTACATTAAGACCTATGAGGAGAGAATAATCAACAAACATAAAACTGCACCTTCAGTTTCACAAACTTTACCATTATAAGAAGGAACAAGTATGAATTAGATGTATATAATGTCATGAAGACCCGTGCAGCTAAGTAAAACTTTACTGGAATTAAAAGCTTAGCATCCTGGTAAAGTAAGTAAGTAGTTTTTCTAAAAGCCATAAATGACTAATAGTGAAACCTCTAGCAAAGCACTGTTTCATAAAAGCATGCAGTAACTTTTGTCTTGATTCTGTTGACGACATATACGAATAGCGTTGCAGCATCATATGTAATGCTGACAAAATTGAACATCTTTCACGTCTATTTTGTCAGCATCATTGATAACTTGGGCTGCAGTCCCGTCAAAACATTACGCAAGCAAAGTAAGATGCATATCGTATTCATTCATCAAATTACATGTTTTTTATCCACTATTGCTCAATCATGGATCAACTTTCCCTCTTATCCTTGGCCTTATTACACTTTATCTCAAAACACATCAGACAACTCAGAAATTCACTCAGTCCTCAGAAGCAGCACATGAAATCATCAATTTTCAGGCTATACTCCATTAGATAATACTAAAAAAAGAATCTGAAAAACAGAAATATTCAGCTATGTAATCACTTTAATTGTCATTTTCACTCAAATTCAAGTAACAGATCTCGACAAAACATAAGCAGGCATCACTGTGCAACACCCAATGCAACAATTCGGAGATATCTTAAACTAGATAACTTCTTCACTTATTGTTTCCAATAAACCCACCACCAAAATAAAATCACTAAGCAGTAATAAATCTATAAAATATCCGATTCTTAACTAAATATTCCAACAGATACGGATGAGAAAACATCTTTTTTTTCCCGAACAGATGCTCAAAAATCGAGGGAATACTCACCGACGTAGTCCCCCATGAAGAGGTAATTGGTGTCAGGAGCGTTGCCGCCTATCCGAAAAAGCTCGATCAGATCGTAGAACTGGCCATGGATATCGCCGCACACAGTAACCGGACATTTCACCGGCTGAACATTCCATTCTTCCACCAGAATCGCCCTGGCCTGATCGCACAAGGTCTTCACCTCCGCTTCCGACAGAGGCTTGCACTCCATCAATTGTTCTATCTGCCTGTCCAAATCCCCGTGCCCCGGCATTTTCACGATTACTTTCAATAATACTCAAAAAAATCAAAATCCCCTCCTTTTTTGCTTTCAGATCTGTGAATTATTTAACGATTTGAGTTCAAAAAAATACAAAAATAATAGATAAATCAGAAAAAGCAGAAAGATCTGGATTTGATAGATTTGTGAAGATAACTGATTTTGTAAAAAAATTTCATCATTTTCTATTGATTTATGAGACTCGTTCTCATTTCATGTTTTTCTCTCTCTAGAAATGATAAGAATTTATGTATAAGAATTTTATATAAATCAAACGAAAGATGTATATGTGCCAAATGAAATGAAATGAAATGAAATGAAATGCAAATGCAAATGCAGAAATGGAACAATCTCTCTCACACAGTATGAACAGCGAAATGAGTGGTTCTATGTGGGAGTTAATATTTATTTCATCTAAGATTATCGAACTTTTAAGTGAACCTTTAATTAGGTTATTAAACTTTAATTCATCTCAATTAAGGTAATGCTACTCGTATAAAATGAGGAATTATAAACTTATGCGGTAATGCTACTTGTATAAAATGATTTACAGATTAATCATGTGAATAATATTATCAGACTTCACTTTATTTCATTCTCTCTTTCTCTCTCTTTCACATTATCAATCTGTTCACTATTATGTATAAGTAGCATTACTCCACGATGTCTATAGGTTACAATGTTGAGATACTTTTTGAAATGTTGTTGCTATAAATTCACATTTCCATGTGGCGATTATGTGAAAGATTATTTGTGTTATGACCTACTAATTAAGCAACTTCCATCATTTTGAGAAGAATAATACTATGTATCATCTGTCTAAATTGCAGTAGATCACAACCAAGTCTACCGACGAAATTAAAATGATTTGATTCATTCAACAATGAAGTATTAGACAACACTACGATTCACTACAATGATGATATATAGCCTTTTTTTTTTTTTTCTTCGAAAATGGTAAGTGACAAAGTGGTAATATTCAAAATTAAATTTGAAGTTTAGTGGCCTAATTAAGGTAAATTAAAGTTTAATGATCCAATTGATTTTTGTAAATGTTTAACGACCACAAATAAAAATTTAGTTAGTATTATAATAATGATGTGGAGTGCATGCATTGATTAGGCCTAATTGTTGGGCTTGGACGGATTTTATTAGGGGGATAAATTTACAAATGACTACTCAATTTTATATTATGTGTTATCATGATCATTCAATATTTTTTTACTTCATCACGATCACTCAATTTTATACTTAGTGTCATCATAGTCACTCAATTTAATTTTATTTTACCATGAGCATCCAATTTCATATAATGTTTCATCATACCCACCCAATTTTATATAACATTTTAACATTATTACATAACTTCTTTTCACCATTATCATTAGTTTTAAAAGGGGTAAAACGGTAATTTTGCATCATGTATATAAAATAAATTTTAAAAAATTAAAATAAGAAACTTATTTTAAAAAATATGTTTTAAAAAAAAACTTATTTAAAATAAAAGCTTATTTAAAAATAAACATTTTTAAAATTAAAAAAAAATCTTTTATATATATAATACAAAGTTACCGTTTTACCCCTCTTAGAATTAATGAAAATAGTGAAAAGAAATTAAAATTCAGTAAAAATATGATTTTTAACTAAGTCAAACAGAGGATAAATATAGGCATTAGGAGTCGAACAAAGTAGCATATATAGAAGTATGAAAATGCCGTAATTCATCTTTTTATTAGTCTACCAAAAAAAGGGTCAAATAATTAATATTATAAAACTAATATTCCTTTTATTAATCAAATGAAATATCTAGATTTGGTCGTGGTCCAAAAGCAAACAAAATTGGACTTTTGTTTCCCATTTTTGTCCAAAAAAAAAAATTAAAAATAAAATTGTGTATTGTATAGTTATTATTTAGCCCAGGTTGGTGCCCATTATTTTTTTTTTAAAAAAGAAGTTTTGAATAGTAATTTTTAGGGGAACGTGTGATTAAAAAGTAGGAAAAAAATTTAAGTTTATGTACAAAATATTTTAATATGCAAATGTACAATTGAAAATGATCATACAATAAAAAGAATTTTAAAACAATGAGCACCAAACGGGCGCTTAGACTTGCTCACTTCTTTCTATCAATGGGAAAATAATTAAAGGAAATAGAACCTTTGCCGGTTATGTTATTTATAATAAAATTAAATTTTAAAAAATCTAAATTAACCATGATTCAACTAGCCTAACCCATCATAAATTGTCTACTTAGCTGGTTTAGCATGCCATGAAGGTCATGTCTACGCATGGCCCACAACCTATGTGGGCCTACAAAATGTGACTGGAATAACCCATTTAACACGAGTAGTTACCCTGTTACATGCTCGCTTGTATGGTGCACTTTTTCCCTTTTTTTGTTTTTGGGAATTTTCAAAAATGTCACTAAATTTGAAAATCCAAAAAAAATTGTCACTTTCACCTTTTGTTTGCAAGAATGTCACTTTTTTGGTGCAAAATGTCCAAAGTATCCTTGTTACCACCTTTTTAGGAGCAATAAATGTTTGATTTGAATGTAATTAATGTTGTGATGTGATGA